TCCTATTTTAACTAAAATGCATCGAGAAATCAAAAAATAATGAAACACACAGCTGAAAGAAAACTGAGGCATTGAAGCCATGGGGGAGCCCGTTGCTGCCATCAAATCTGTAGCGACTAAGGACTGACAGACAACATGCCTTTGTTCTCTGGTTTTCACAGATGTGATTCTGTTTGGAGCTCTCCTGTCCCAAAGGTCCCTGAGAACACTCAAAAGACAAGATGATAAGCTCAAAAAAGACTTTACTGCAACTTCCTCCACAGAGTAAAGATGGACCACCCATGTTCAGCAGACCCACAGAGAAGAGAAGGTGCTTCTTGTGTACATGTCTACATCTGTGAATTGGAAAGAACCTGTGTGAAGGCACTAAGAGGGAAATTCTGCTTTCAAGTCATGAAAGTATCACCCCAACTAAGCTACAATGAGTCAATCCTGCACTGTTTGTATAGAAAAATGAGACTAGCTCTCAATCACAGACTGTGTCTTTCTAGATTCCATCTTATAGTTGTCAAGACAGCAATTTCAAGTTCAGACATGATTTAATGGTTTATCCTCTTACTCTCTGACAAAATATTTAAATTTACATCTACTTCCATAAATGACCAAGACTTCAAAAATAAAAATCAGGGCTCCCAAGTACACTAAAACTGACAGACATCAGATAGTGCTTAAAATAATCATGATACACTTTAAAATTTAATCCTAGATCAAATTCCTCCAGGAGACCTTTGTGATACATTGCCTGTTAATTCTGTTAAACAATGATGTAACCAGATAAGTAATTACAAGGTCATGTGAACCTTACATGCATTCCTGGAATTCTGTAAAGTATGTCTACCTACAACATGGGCTGCAATTTGCCCTAACATTGACTCTGCAAGTGTGATATAATGTTGTACCACTGATAGCCTGTAAGAATCCAGTCCTAGCTGGGCAGTGGTGGCTCACACCTTTAATCCCCGCACTGGGAAGGCAGAGGCAGATGGATCTCTGTGAGTTCGAGACCAGCCTGGTCTACAAGAGCTAGTTCCAGGACAGCCTCCAAAGCCACAGAGAAACCCTGTGAAAACCCACAGGAGAAACAAAAAAAAAAATCAAGTCCTATAAAGTTAAGAGCACAGTACATCTCTACTAGTTCAAGCTAACAAGCTACTGCTGAGGATAGCCATCTGGAGATGTAGCTCAGTGGTGGCAGACTCATATCTTATGTATGAAACCCCAGCAGTGATCCCTGGTGCTGGGGAAGAAAAAAGCCACCCCGTGTCTTGTCCTTTCACATTACTCATGAACACTGGTGTTTGTTTAAGTCTCGCATCTTATACAGTTCCATTTTTCAAAGAGCAGAAAAGGGGCAAAGTGATGCAGAAAAGCAAAGCAAAGACAATTGAGAAAAAAATAACTGGCTAATACAAAAGCACCTACAACAAAAACTGGATCTATGCAGATGCACAAGTCAATGAGCTCCAGATGTACTGCTACTGTACTCCTCACAGGTGTTTTTCCGCTTAGTAAACATAACAGCCAAGCAGGGAGGCTGCTGGGGCACTGAATCGCCCCATTTGGGCTCTGCTTTTCTGCTGCTCTTAACTGTTTTGAGCTAATTTTTAATCGGACAGCCACTACTGAAATCCTGAGTGCATAGGCTTGGCAGAGCAAGGAAGAAAAAGTGCAGTCCACAGATTTGTTTCTTCTGCTTCCTCAAGACAGAATCTCATTAAAAAACATACCATCAAATTGTGTCACCCTGGAGCTGTCAGAAAAAAAAAGCCTTTCTGTTCCCCTTCACGACTCTGAACATGAAACCCATCTCTTGGTTAGCAGGAAGTTTTATAAAGCTCCAGGAAGTCATGAGGCCCAGTCACAACTGTTCAGATTGCATCCAGTCAGAACTATCCATCAATCAGAAACTTCTGCAACAATTGGATGGAAGTTTGGGAGGGCAACTTAGAAAAGCACACAGGACAAGTTTGACTTCACTGCCAAACTCATTTCCAGGACACAGGCTAATTAATTGTAAAAGCTTTTTCCAAACAAATTTGAGTCTGGCAACCTGTTTTCCACATCCAGACAGAGGAAAAACAGAGGGAGAGAGAGAGAGAGAGAGAGAGAGAGAGAGAGAGAGAGGGAGGGAGGGAGGGAGGGAGGGAGGGAGGGAGGGAGGGAGGGAGGGAGGGAGGGAGGGAGGGAGGGACAGAGAGACAGAGAGACAGAGAGACAGAGAGACAGAGAGACAGAGAGACAGAGACAGAGAGACAGAGAGAGAGAGAGAGAGAGAGAGAGAGAGAGAGAGAGAGAGAGAGAGAGAGAGAGAGAGAGAGATTCAGGGTTATGGTATTAAAACAGGTTACGAAATAAGATCTGGGTTTAAGAGAGCTCCATCTGCAAGTGCATTTTATTTTATCATATTTTATTTTTGCCTTAAAAGGCTCCAAGTGGTTTTGTATTCAAAGCATTAGGTCGCTTTCCCCTCCATGTCTGATGGGAACAAGACTGTGAGCCACTTTAAGCTCCTTTCCAGCCTTTGGACGGATGCAAAGGACAGAGATGCTTTTGGGAGAAAGACCTCACTGAACTAACTGGCTACAGCGCCAGCTATATTTAGGTGGGTAAGTTCTCTGAATATATACCATTAACTTTCATTTGCCAGCTTTGAAGACTGAACCAGTAAAATCCCTGAGCTAGGTCTTTTTTTCTTCACCTTTAACATCAACTTTAGGGACTGGAATGCTGACAGAAGACAAAAAAAGGTTGATTTCAAGAACCCAAATCACACACATTTTACAGCAAAATCAACAACCTATGTACTCTGGTCCTTGAAGATAAAGTTGATGTGATTCACATTGCAAACCATGAAACTCCCTCTACGTGTGCCCAGATTTAAAGAGACCCAACAAAATGAGAAATTTCTCCCAGCCAACATTTACCAGCTGTCTGCTCACAAATTTCTAGCTAAAGATGGTCGTCCCTAATAAAAGAAGACATACTCAAAAATGTATCAACCAGATATGTCAACCCTAATTGGTGTTTCCTTATCCAAGTTCAAATCCCCTACCAGAGGGTGTGAGTAATTAGCACTGTTTGGTAAAATCTGGGTGGAGCCATGGTGAGCATGGTAGCTTTGAAGGAAATACTGAGGGTCCAAGTTTTCCTTCTGCCACAGGTGTGTGCTTCCCAACACATTTGCAAGCAAATGCCCAGAACCCTGACCATATCCAGAAGCCTCAGAAGAAGGCAGAAGAACTAACCGTGTCACTGTTTGTGGAGGAGCAGCCCAAGGAGTCAAGAATGAATATCAAGGCCACAGTCATCAGTCCTGATGCAGATGCCTCTTCCAGAAATACCAATAGATAAAGATAAGAAGGATGGCACCAGATCTCAGAGAAATGTGAAAGTCAACTTGTTGGAAACCCATTAAGCTTCTAATCCATGGGGGAAAGGAATGGAATGGTACAAAAAGCATAGGGAACTGAAAGAAAGGGAGAATGAGAGATTAGTTCCAAAGCTTTTCCAGTGATCTGATCTGGGCAAGTGAAGGCCTTTTAAGGAAGCATTGAGGAGAAGGTTGAAAGATCCAAGAGCCATTTCATAAGTAAGAGAGTAATTTCACCTTTCTTGTGCTTTTTAGAATTCACCACAGCCTATAAAACTCTTGTCATTACTACAGGAGCTGCCAGTTAAAGAAATAACACTGTCATAAATTTTTTGTAGAAAAAAATAGCAAAGTATGAAAAAAAATCAAAGCTACCCTACTTAAAGAGACAGATCAAGAAGAAAGCCTGGGACTGATACCCAGATAATGTGCTAGGCATGAAGTCAACTAGAACTGTGTTCTACTGTTATATCAAACGATTTAAAAGGAAGTTAAGAGAAAGAATCAGATGCATGGTTTTTCGAAATATGCATAAGGTACTGTTTCCATGTAACAGAGGGGGAAAGCTGGTACCATCACACACCTAGCCATTTTTGAAACAAGTAGCAAAACCATATTTTCTCAATTCATGTCCCTTACAGCTTACCTGTAAATGTTGGAACAGGCTAGAATTTCTGTATGTCTGTCTGTCTGCCTGCCTGCCTGTCTGTCTGTCTCTGTCTTTGTCTCTCTGTCTCTGTCTCTGTGTGTGTGTGTGTATGTGTAGGTATGTGTGTCAAGAATATCTGTATATATATATGCACATATATGGCAGAAGGTATGTGTGTGTGTGTGTGTATGTGTGCACATGTGAAGATCAAAGGCTGATATTGAATGTCTTCATCATTCACTCACCATTTTATTTTTTAAAGCCTGGCCTCTCACTGCCCCTGGAGCTTTCTGATCTGGCTCGATTGGCTGCCCAGCAACCCCAGGGATCTCCCTGTTTCCACCTCCCCAGCACTAGGATTACAGGGTGTTCAGCAGCAGCATGTTTGCACAAACAGCACTTTCCAAAGGCCCCTCTGTTGTCATAAAACATGAACTTTCATTTCTTTGAAGCGTTATGATTTTTTCATCAAGAAGTATCAATATATTATGTTGTTGAAATATAATGTATTTACACATTCACAGCCAACTAGGAAAATGACCCAGTTTATATCGCATTCTTTTCAAAAGAAAAAAAAATGGCAGAGGTTCAAAATCTCTGTCCTTTATTACAGATGCTAAACGATATACAGTTACCAGCACCCCTTAGCCTGTTATAGTACACCAAAACACTTTTTCATAAAATACCCCACTTAAACCCCACAACAAACCCAAGGTAAAGGTTATTAATATGCCCAGGCTTAGCCAACTGTAGCTCCAAAACTAATGGAGGCAGGTGAATGTATCACAAGGGCCAAAGCCAAGACTCACTGGTGTCTCCTCTGCTCACCACACAATTCTGCTTTCTTCCTTAGCAAAAGAGAAAATTCTCATCTGCACATAATGTCCATTTTAGTGTGACATCCACTATCTCAAATGCAATCCAGCATCTCTTAGATACACAGTCAGTCTTCAATTTCAAAGAAGGAAAGTCTCTCCTTACCTGGTCCTTCTCCGGTTTATCAGAAATGTCATTCAGACTGGAGGATGTCAGATTCCTATGGGTCATGGCTGGGCTACCTGGAAAAACACCAGCAAATTCCGATTAGAGACCTCTTTTCAATGGCACGGGGCTGTGGTTAAGCATTCAGTAAACACTGAGCGATGGTAATGAGAATGGTGACGAGGCTTTTAACCACAATAGATCCTGTAGCGTTTTCCTGAGTCCAGGCTGGAGTATAAATATAGCTAAGTGGAAAGTGTGTAAAATCCCAAATACTCTGTCTTATTGCTTGGTTATATTTCAGGTTAAGTTAAACCACAAAAGTGTCTAAAGCAGTAAGTGTAAAAGCCTGTTTGTCTAGCTGTGTTCACATCTCCCGTTGTCTTTTGCACGTCTCTTCTACTGTTCCCTTTTTCCTTTGCTTTTCCCCCGCAGACACATCTCCCCCTATCACCAGGAGAACTGGTCTTGGGTGTGTACCTGGGTCCCCTTTCCCCTTGCCCTGGGTTGTCCTTCCACACATATGACTCTCTCTGGTCACCCAGAAAAGCTATCCACCCTCCTTTGCCCAGCAGACATTTTGGTCACAAATAGTTCCCCTTGTTGGTATCTGGTCCAGAATCCCCAGTCTTTGCCTCAAAATAGTATTGTCACAGGTGCCTTGACTACTCGGTGTTCCAACTACCAAGGTAAACACTTTGCTTTTTCCTCTGTAACATGTCAGACTTTGAATGATACACTATACAGGGCATATGACATTGAACCAATCTTTCTATATCAGTCAGAGGTCAAACTCACTAGTAATCTACCCAGTTATTCCCAACACTTAGACACAACAGAAGGGACATCCAAAGAGCCACAGGCTGGTGGATTGCAGGGAGACCATGGTAATCAACAGGCTCCTGGGCTTCCATTTTGCAGTGGGACTTGAAATTTCTAGGCTGATTAAGCAAAACAGTAACTCTTCAAAGCTAGGCGTTTGACCCAACCCCTGCAGGGTGCTGAGCAATGCAGTAGCTATTAATCCTCAATGATCTGAGTCAGGCAAGTCTTCCCAGCAAGAGGGCAGAGGTTGAAAAGCAGCACTAGGTCCAAGCACAGTGTCTCCTTGGCTTGAAACCATTGTTCACAGACATGAATTCCCTCCAACAGAAACTCCAACACACAACCTTACAAAAGACAAAAATCTGCTCCCAGTCAGTTAATGTCGGTGTAACAGCAGCTCTTTAAATATTATAATCCCCTTGAACCACTATATCAGAAAAGACCTAGTGTTCTGAGCCGGGAAGACAGGGTATTTTCCACTCCGCTGCATTTCATTGAGTAAGCATGGCCTAGATCTCTTAAATCCTTTACCTGGCAGGGTGTTTTATTCTAGGAAAATCTGAGCACAGGGCATTACTTAAAAAAAGGAAGAAAGAAAGAAACATCTGACGAAGTGTTTCTTAAGCAAAATTAAAGGAGTCCTGTTGAAGACAGCAGTTTATGCTTTGAATTGCATTCCAACCAGTGTCAACTGATTCAAAAGGTGTCAGGAACAAACCTGAACTCCCCCAGATTATGCTGAGATGGAAACTAATGGAAAATGATGAGTAGGTTTAACTTTGTACTTTCCTTCAAAAAACAGAACCGGTCATTGGCACTACCTGGCTGAAAGTTCTTCCTGAATGAGAAGGACAAGTCACATATTAAACAATGAAGGCTGAACAGTCCTGGTCACACACACAAGTTAAACACAGCCTTTGGGCAGAAACGGACCAGACTGACTTCTAATTATTACAACAATTTTATTTAAGTGGCAGCAATCACATAATTTGAAAGTTAAATAAATTAAATGCTTTGGGTAATAGATTAAAGAAATGGATTCACTTTGGAAATCTGTTAAACACTGTAAGGTATATTTGAACCTATCCCTGTCCGTCTTGCCACAAATACTGAATAGCTAAAAGCCAAAACAATGGGGGTTTTGTTATAGTGATAAACTTGATTGACATGACAATCTTGCCAAAGAAACAAAGCCTGTCTCATTTGTCTCCTTTCTGAAAGACTCCCATCTTGTGGTTAATCTCGAGTCACTCTTTGTGGGGAGCAGAGGAAGGCACAGATTGAAGAAGGACGAATGAACCAGATGAGAAAAAAGTGTGTTAACAATCAAATGCACTGAATCTCCTAAATTTGATTTGATTTCTAGTAATAAAAATAATTAATACGAATTTTCAATTTTGTAACATATTGTAACAGCTCTGAGGCCGACAGATGCAGGACAATGGGTAAGATGATTGGAATTGTTTAGTCTTTTCCTCTCTCTTTCCCCATCAAATACAGTAAGAATCCACACTCCTCAAAACCTGGAGCTAGAGACAGCCAAATGCTGCCCAGTGCTCTGACTCCGTGATAACCAAAGTGAGGGCCCAGGACCAGCAACATCCACATCAGAGGGGCACTGTCCATTCGAACCCAAATTCTGAGACTCTGACCATGCTAGCACCAACAAAACTCTGGGAATGGTTCATAGAATAAGAAGTTTTATTCAAGTTGCACTGCAGTGTGGAAAATATGGAGAACTACTACTCAAAATGAGAAACCATCTTGGCAGGCAGTGTGCTACTGGGACTCTCAACTGAAAACACCACGTCTGAGCTTGGAAAGTCAGAGGCATTATTCTGACAACTTGCCCTGTTGCAAAGCCCCTGCTGTCACCTGTCCTATCTCAAGCAAATTGCTAAATTAGCAACCTCACTATAAAAACACACACAGAAGAATATTTGGGTTTTCCCTTGTCTCCTCACCTATACAACAAAATCAATAAATACCTTGGTTTTGGAAACTCACTTTGACCACAGAAACATATTACCAAAAGCAAAGAAGACAGAACAAGAGCCAAAAGAGATTACGAACTAGACTGTATGTGGGAAACAGAAATCTGTATGTTGATTTTTCACAAACACAGGAAGCTGTTACACAACTGGCCCCTAACAATGAAGTATTGTATACATTTTGCAACAGATATGCAATAGGACATGTTGTCAGAATAAATCAGTGCTCTGCATTTAGAGCTGGAGCATGTAACGTAAACTCATTACACGGCAACACTGAGCAAAAGGACTGGAAAAACTGTCACCTGGCATCAACAGGTGAAACAGAAGAGTGTTGTAGAGTGTGTTACCTTTGGGGACAGGTGGTAATTTACTCAAGGCTGCATTCAAAACCTCGTTCCAACTAAAATCCAGGACATTCAGATGTCTTGGGACTGTTCTTGGCCAAAAGGAACTTTGCTTCTAAAGTATGATTTTAAAAAGAAAAAAAGGAAGACCCAGTCTTGGGTGCACAGTCATAATTAATCCAGATATCACCATGTTCAGGCCATAAGGGAGAGAAAACATTGGAGAATCACATTTCCAAGCAGTTTCACACGGTTGAAAGCTGTTGCTGTTTCATTTCCAAAGTACCCGCTTGGCAGGTACATACCGTTTCTATAAAAATTAATTACACTCTGTACTGTTTGAAAATCATTGTTATTCTTTACTATATATGTAACAATTTAAAAAGTCCTTTGCAATTGTATCTGTTAGATGCATTAAAAAGAGGTGAAGAAATGTACAGCACAGGAAAATGATATTTAAGTGTGAGCATAAAATTCAAATGTTTACATAATACAATGAAAGATTAACCCCCACCTTACCTCATACCTCCATTAGAAGCTAATAAAATACAGAGGGACATGCTAAAACAAGGGTTTCATCACCTATGAACCATACAGGATTCTTTATTCTCATGAGTAACTAAGTAACAATTTCAACATTTAAAAAAAAAAGTTCCCAGGACTGATAGACCTCACCAAGCCTGGCCACTCAGGAGGCTGAGACAGGGGAAAAAATCCAAGCTTAAGAGCAACCAGGGCAACATAGTGAGAACTGTCTCCAAACACAAAGTGAAGGTTGGAAGCCAGGCGGTGGTGGCGCACAACTTTAATCCCAGCACTTGGGAGGCAGAGACAGGTGGATCTCTGTGCGTTCTAAGCCAGCCTGGTCTACAAATTGAGTGCCAGCCCAGTCAGGACTATTGTGCACAGAAACCATGTCTCAAAAAAAAAACACAGGAAAAAAAAATAAATGTTGGGACTACCGCTCAATGCTAAGGAATTTACCTGGGTTCAGTCCCCATTATTACAAACACATTTTAAAAGATAAATAACTACCCTGGGCAGTGTTGGCACAGGCCTTTAATCCCAGTACTGGGGAGGCATAGGCCAAAGGCAGGTGAATCTCTGAGTTTGAGGCCAGCCTGGTCTATACAGTTCTAGTACAGCAGAGAAACCTTGTCTCAAAAAAACAAATAATAATAAATTATTATTATTATTAATTGTATTAATGTTATTATATAATTAATAATAATATAATAATGTAGTTTATATGTATAATAGACATATAAGTGAATCTAGGTAATCATAAATTTCCTGAATTTTATCAAAAATTCAGAGGTATGAATCCGATTTACACTGCCTGGGGCCACCGAAAAATATGCAGTTTATTTTTAAGAGCCTATGTCACATATTTGTCCCCAGTCTGTGGAACTATTGAGAAATGTTGGAACCTTAAGGATGGAGGGGGTAGTAAAAGGAAAGCAGATCTTTGGGAAGAATCTTTCAGGGGCATACTGGCACCTCCCACAAGTTCCCACCATGATGCACTGTCTGTGCCACCATGGGCCCAAACCCAAGAGCCTAGCAACGTCACGTTTTAAATACTTGTGTTTAAGTGATTTTATTGTCTGTTTGGGATATAAAGAATAAGTACAAAATCAAGGCCCTCACTCTGTCTATTTCACAGGTCTAGCCTCGGAGCATTAGTGGCACTTCATGAATATTTTTAATAAATAATATGAGTGGGCTGTTTTTTATTTAGAAACTACTATAAATACAACTGTGCTAAACCCATTTCTTATGGAGGGAGGTATTCATTGTATGCACTCTTAGGAGCCTTTAGACTTGGAAAGCCTGAAGGTAAATAAGGAAGAAGTGTGTAACCAGCCCAGAAGTCACAAGACAGAAAGACAAAGCTAAGTTGGCCAAAGTCTG